AGTAGCTATTTCAACAAAGACACGACCTCTGCGGGTCCCAACAATGACATCATATAGCCTAAACATGATTTCTAACATGGAATTCAGTCCAATTTCTGTAACACTAAGAGAAACATATAGCTAATAACAAATTATTCATATTTACGATTCCACAGGACGGACCAAGTCACAATCCCTATGGTGCACGCCCACACGCCTGTCATCTAGCATGTGCGTCACCTCCAAAGTAATCACATAGCACAATGTTCGGGGTTTGATACCCTCAGGACTAGATTTATAGCTGTTACTTACCTCAATCCGAGAGAAGCTCTACTTGAAAATGCCCTTACCTCGCGAGTTGGACTTCAAACGTCCCGAAGCTAGCAACAAGCAGTACAATACAATTAATATAGGCTAAAGGGATCGATTCCACAAGAAAACTACTAAATTAGACTCAAAAATCCAAAATTGGCTCAACCCGGTCCCCGGGCCCATGCCTCGAAATCTGACAAAAGTAACAAAACCCAAAAGCCCATTCACTCACGAGTCTAACCATACTCAATTTACTCAAATCTGATAACAAAATCCCATTCAAAGCTTCAAAAATCCATCTCAAGAACACTTCCTCTTTTTTCCAATTTTTTTACCCCAAATCCCAAATTAGATGATAAAATTAAAGATATAATAATGAGATATAGCCAAAACCAAGCAAGAATCACGTACCGCAATCAATTCCATGAAATTCCCTTCAAGGATCGCCCAAATCCGTGATCTCTAGCTCAAAATATGAAAAATGGGTTCAAACCCTCATTTTGGAAATTAATACTGTCTGCCCAGATTTTCTTCTTCGCGAACGCGACCGTCCTCTCGCGCTCGTGTAGACCAACTCAGACTGCCTTTCCGCTTTACTCTTCGCGAACGCGACCATTGCTTCGCGAACACGATGCTTTGCAAACTCAGACCTTCGCGAACGCGTCCCTTACTTTGCGAATGCGTAGAACAAAAGGCTGGGGTCCCTAGCTACCTCACTCCTCTTCGCAAAGGCGACACCACTCACTCGTTCGCGATGCACACGCTGCCATACCTTCGCGTTCGCGTCCTCTCCTTCGTGAACGCACAGAACAAAATCTCACCACTAAGAAAACAATCTTCGCGAACGCGAGGCTCCTCTCGCGAATGCGTAAGAGAAACAAAAAAAAAGCAGCAGACATCAGTTATCTCACCAAGGCCAAAAATGATCCGTTAACCACCCGAAACTTACTCGAAGCACTTGGGACCTCAACCAAACATACCAACACGTCCCATAACTCTTCAAACCACCTCCAACAACATCAAAAATACGAATTACACACGGATTCAAGCCTAATGAACTTTGAAATTTCCGAATTCTACAAACGACGTTGAAACTTATCAAATCAAGCCCGATTGACCTCAAATTTGCGCACAAGTCATAAATGACGCCATGGACCTTGTCCAACTTCCGTAAATCCAATCCGACCCCGATATAAAAAAGTCCACTCCCGGTCAAACTTTAAAAAATTCCAACTTTCGGCATTTCAAGCCTAATTCTACTACGAACCTCCAAAACACAATCCGGACGGGCTCGTAAGTCCAAAATCATCTAATGGAGCTAACGGAACTACAGAAATTCAAATTTGAGATCATTTACACATAAGTCAACATGCGGTCAACTTTTCCAACTTAAGCTTTCAATCAAGAGACTAAGTGTCTCAATTCGCCCAAAAACCATGCTGGACCCAAACCAACTAACCCAGTAAGTCATAATTCAGCTCAAGAACACAAAAGAAGCAGAAAATGGGGGAACAAAACTACCACTCTCGAAACGACTGGCTGAGTCATTACATCAACACCTATACAGGAACTAATCAACATTATATTGCGACTGTTAATTAGAGTATACTAACACAAAATATTCTGCTAGTTTTTCCTTGGATTTCAACTACTGGCGCTATGCTCCAGGTAAACGTCATCTCGGCTGCTACATGAATCGCCACTGAACTGAATTAGTTGCGACGCCGCCTTCATCTCCCGCTCCCTCAGCTTCACCGTTGACGACGCAGATTTGTTCATTATTTTACTTACAAATATTGGTAGATATGGAGAGGACGGGAGAGAATATAGTGTATGATAATATGGCTGATGTCTGTGCGTTTGAAATGGGAGAAGAGTTGATATCTATATATATAGAGAGAGGGGTACCGTTTTTCTATTCCTCATGCGGGTTTCCTGGGTGGAATTAATGGAGAACATATGTTTGATTTTTTTTTTTCTTAAAGTGTTTTAGGCTTCGCTAACTAGTTAGTATACATTAACTACAGGGACAAGGTTGTAATTTAAGCAATTCTTTTGGTTTCTTTCTTTCATTTTTTTTTTTTTTTTTTTTTTTTTTTTTTTTTTTTTTTTTGTAAAATGATAATCAATTAATTCAGTGATTCAGTCATGCATGGGTTATGTTCAACTTTAAAGTTTAAATGAGGCTAAATAGGCAAATAGACACGGGTAGTTGCTCAAGATTTTGTTTCCATCCCCAACTCAATGAGTTTACAACGAGGTAAGGAGACTCCACCTAGCTAGTGCGCTCCTCACCTCAATGCTATACTTCGGCAGCTACGAATTAAAACGGTTTTGAAGAAACGTTATATTTACTACCTACGTTCACCCTGATAGAGTAACCCGAGCTTCAATTTCTTACTCTCACCAACGTATATCTCCAGGCTGTAAAAGGTATTTTACGGTGTACGACGAGTTTTCTTAGGCTTGACCTAACCATCACTCTAGGATGTATTTTCCGATGCCGACTGGATTGGCCAGGTACTTCAAATTGATCAAAACAAGTAGCTTAAACACCTTTGCATTAAGCGTTCTTCAAATATACCAATGTGGATAACAAATCAATGTTCACGTCATTTTTTTTTTTTACAACACATTGTCATTTATTTTTTCACATTATTTAAACAGTGAGAGGTATTTGACTATTCTGCCATTAAATTTACCGTATTTTTTTTTTTTTTTTT